AGAGAGAGAGCTTCTCCTTTTCTCTCCATCGCAGGTGGTGGCGGTTGTGTGTTCAGCGGCATGCTGCTGTCAGGAGGCACACGCCATCAGCCAATTCAGCTCTGTGTCTCCACTCGACCACCACCCGGAGCCCATTCACTCATTAAAGCAGACACGCGTCCTGGCTGCAGCCTCCCGCCCTACCTGTCAAACCCAGTTGTGCAGAAACGCACGTTTAGCTTCAATCTGTCACTGACCACTGGCATCCGATTATCCACTCAAAAACCCTTGTAACAATGGAATGAAAAAAGCTCCCGTTATGGATATATATATTTATATATATATATTTTGGATGCCCGTTTGAATTGCACTGTCGTATTCTCAAGGCTCCGGTTTGGCCACTCCATCCTCGCGTTTTGGCACATTTGTGCGCGTGGACGTTTTTTGTTAGATTTTTTAATCACATTTTCCGTGATTGTTGCTGCTTACGCCTCTATGAAAGTTGCACAGAGATCACACAAAGTTGGAGTTCTGTGCAAGATCGTCTCGCCTCCATCGAGTGATTAACATCCAATATAATTAGTAGTTGTTGTTGTTTTTTTTATCGAACCTGATCTGGAGAGCCGATCCTTCTGAGACGCGTTTTCCACTCGAGAGTATCTTTATTCTGGCTGCTTTGGCACAAAGGAAACAGCAGAACTGCACGAGCTGAATTTACGCTTATGGAATAGGGCAATAAAATACGCCGTGCGTAAAAGGCGCGAAACTGCGCGTGCCAGTGAGCTCCATTTAACAAAACATCAGGAAATTCTCTCCCTTTTTGATACCTCGAATTCGTTCTCCTATCTTTACTCTTTCTTATGTTTTCACCTCCACCCCGTGCCCTCCCCTCCAAAAAAGAACACATGGGAAATGATTCAGTAGCATCTCGTTTTATTTTTGGACTAGAATGTAGAAAATATGGTAATAAGACTTTTCATTTTCAACATCTGCTTATGTGACGAGGATACAGGACTGGCAGTATAAAGATGCAGTGCGTGGCTATTGCACTCCGTTTGGACAATAGCTGCATACGATTTTGATCATTGTGACATGCTGCAACAACATGGTTCTGCTATTAAATAAGACACATTGGTGCTAAAATAAAATATAAAAAAAACATCGGAGTATCAAACCCCTGAAAACCTCATGAACAGAACAGCCAGAGAATGATAGACTACACGTCTACATAGGCAAGAGGTAATAGAAGAAACTTCGCAATATATAGACAAAATATATACAAAAAATTATGTGTACAAAACATCTATAAATCTCTTACATACAAAAATATCTTAATATATTTTTAAAAAAGCGTTTGATATAGAATTTGATAATAAATCCGTGACTTGGAAGCATTTTCTGAACTCAAGATCAGAGAGTTTTTACCAAAGTGTTGGTGTTTGTGGTTTGATTAGCATAGATGAGGAGCGACATATTAAATAATGCTTTTCAATGTGCTGCCGAAGAGCAAGAATTCACTTTAAGGTTGTTGTTTCTTGTTTGTTTGTTTGTTTTCGTCGTGGAGAAAGATGCACAGAAGCGGGGACAGCCGCCCTCCTCCTAATCCTTTGGCGCTGATCTCTGGCCCGATTTCCCCTCGAAGTGTTCAGGATTTTAAGGCCTTTTTGTCAGTCTAGGAAGGAGGACTGGCTCCTTGAGGACGCGTGTGCAGTGCATCTTGTTCTTGGAGGCACCCATCCTCCTCCTCCCGGGCTATCTCAAGCGCAGGTCAACGGTATAAAAAAAAACGGTTGATCCGCATTTCTGTGAAGAAGAACGAGAAAAGAGGAGGGTTAAATCAGAGTTTCAGTCATCCATCAACACATTTAATTTTGCTTTTCTAATCTTTAATGTCTGGAATCATTAGAAAACAATCTGCTCGTACCTCAATAGCTCAGAACCAGTTGGTGAAGTCTAGGAGTTCCTGTTCCTCCGGGCTGAGGGGCTCGTAGGAGCCCTCGTCGGACGAGTAGGAGGACACGGGCGAGCCCGCCATGGAGTTCATGTCCGCGGAGTAGCCCTGCGACATGGCGGGCGACAGCACGCCGGCCTGGAAGGCGGCGCTCACCGCGTCGTGCTCGTCCAGCAGCTGCTGCAGGGCGCGGATGTACTCCACGGCGGAGCGCAGCGTCTCCACCTTGCTCATCTTCTTGTTGGCGGCGCCGTTGGGCACGTGCTCGCGCAGCGTGGCGAAGCCGTTGTTGACCAGCTTGACGCGGTTGCGCTCGCGCTCGTTGCGGCGCGCCACCGCGTGCGGTTGCTGCTGCGGGAGGGTGTAGCCGAAGCCGGCGAAGTTGAGCCGCCGCTTGCAGCGCAGCAGCTCCGGGGAGGAGGAGCGCTGCCTCTTGGGCTGCTTGCAGGCGGACTTGCTTCCCCCCCCGCCGCCGCACTGGCTGCTGGTGCTGCTGCTGGTGCTGCTGCTGAGGCTGCTGATGCTGCTGGGGCTCAGCTGGATGCTCTGCGCCGCCGCCGTGAAGAAACAGGCGGGTGGCATCAGTTGCTGCTGGCTCATGCTAATTTCCATCTTGGCTGTGAGATCCATTCCCCGATTCAAGCAAAAAAAATATATAATAAATACAAAAAAATAATAATAACAAAACTTCTCAAGGACCACAAAGTCTCCAGGCGGTGCGTCCCGCTCGTGCCGTTCACGTGGAGCGACTGCTCGTCGCGCACCTCTTTTCGACTGGAATGAGGGGGGGGGAAGGTGGGGAGGTGGCAGTCCACTGGGGCTGCTGCCTCGCGCGCTTCTCAGAGCTCAAATGAGTCTCCGAAGAAAGACGCCACGGCTTTTGAACGCGTTTGCAGGAGGGGGAGTGGCCACGCCCCCCAGTCGCGTGGATACACCTTAGGGCCAGTGCGCCGGTACCGACGCGTTACGCGCGCCAGACGCGTGCCACTTGAAGCACTAAACAAACAGTCAGTGGAGAGGGTTTTTTTTTGTTTTGTTAGTTAGTTAGTTTTGTTTTTTACTCTGGACAGTAGAGGGAAACATTTCCTTCGATAAAGTTGTGATTGTTTTTTTTAACAATAACCCAAAACTGAGAGTTTGTTTTCAACCACGTTTTGACCGAGCAGTCTTTTGAATCTTTTAACCCTGTCAAGGGTTGGCAGTGAAATAATCATTCATCATTTTGAGCGTCCCCATACTCAAATTTAACTTATTTAAGTTCAGATTCGAGGGAAAAATGCGTTTTACAAACCTTCATATAGAAAAATCAACATATAATCTCATTTAAATATTAGGTTAACAGGTCATCATTCGGTGTTATCTTGAAGCTCGCGAGCCCCAGATTTCTGCTGGTGCTGAAGGACAGCTCACTTCGAGGCGACACCCTCTAAGTTTTACTGTAGAATCTGCGCATGTTAAAGCAGCAGCCCGCTGTCATTTCGGCTCAAACCTCAGTCCACTCGTACGGTTGATGGCGCAAACGCGCCTGATTTGAGCAGCTATTGTCCGTCCGGGGCCGAATTTTCCACTTTACGCGGAGCACATCATCGGCCGCAACAGGCGGAACGCTCAGGCGCAAATCTGCGTGGAGGGGCCCCTCAGAATGCGCTCAGGGGAAGGCTTTGTGGGTGATTTGACACACCCGATGTGGTTACAGTAGCGCGGACGCGCTGAGTTCTGTCGATTATCGTCCCTGTGAGAGGCGGAGGATGAGAAAAAAAAACACGTCTTTAAGCCTGGAACAAAAAGGGGAGCAAACTGCAACCTCGTCTCCAGTGCACATAAAAGTTGAGTTGTTTTACGCACGCAGTTGCTGCTTGTTCTTTTCTTTATTACATGGCCTGCTTCTTGTGGAGGGAATTGTAATCAATTGTGCAATTTTTCTGGACTGGCACTGGCATTCAAAATCAAGCCGGAGACCCTCATCCCCTCTCCCCCTCCTCCCCCCCAGCGCGCGCACACACACTACCTTTACTTTCTTTTCTTTCATTCACCCTCCCTCCCCCCCTTTTTGGCCTCTGAGAGAGAGTTTAATAAAGAGGCGTGGGTTCCATTCAGCGTCCCCCAGCACCCCTCAGCTATCGCCAGGCTTTCTGAAACCTATCCATGCCCTGTCAGCGCGCTTCCAGAGTCCAATTAGCGCTTTGTGAGGACTTTCTATCTGTGGCGCTGCTGGTTATTCCAGCGGCTGGGAGGGCGCTCGCTTTACTGGAGGGGGCTTTCCAGTCAGAGCTGGGTGTAATAATTAATATGACATCTGGGCGCCGAGTTCCTATTTACGCCCTTTCTGTATTTTGCACATTTCTTTGGAGAAGTCGCTGCGGGGCAGTTATGAAACAAAACAAAGACTTTACGCGCCCAAACCAATGTGTGAGTTCGAGGGATTATCTTCTAATGCGTTTCTCATTACAACAATAACAAAAACAAAAGCGTTTTAAAATGAGCTTTCCTCAGAAAACACCGAACCTGCTTTAAAAAGGGGGAGAAATGGGGATTAAGTTATAAACTATGTCTTAAACTCTCAGTATTAAACACCACACAAGTTGGAGATTTCTATCCTTTATCCTTTATGTTTAGGTTGTTATTAGATAGACGTAAAGATTTAGTTTTAAAAAGAGTTCAGACATTTACAATGACCTATCCATGCTGCCTGAGCAGTTTTCTGCCTGCCAGCTAAAGTTGTAATAGAACACTTCCCTCTGGAGGACAGCCATGGTACCTACAGCTTTGCCTGTTCTTGCATCGTTCGGTACACATCAGCCTTTTCTTTTTGTTTACTTTTATGGAGGAATGACAGTACATAGATTTATCAGGTAAAAAAACAGGCAAGGCAACCAGGATAAGAAACGTTTTAAAGGGAATGGGTAAAGACAGATATTGTTGTTTCAAGATGTTTTGACTTTACCTTAAAGATGTGACTCTAAAATTCAGCTCTAAATTAAATAGAAAATTAACCTGACATATTTTGGAAGTAAAAAACTACTAAGGAATATTTCAATACGATGATTGAATAGGTAAAAAAGAAATACAACTATAACACCAACTCTTTCGATGTACTTGCGCTGTATGGCCACTGGGTGTCACTATTTTGCGTACTGAGTTCTACCTGTCTGAGGAGGAGAGAGACTGTGACAGCGGAAGTCTGAAATGCTTATTCTTGTTCTTTGAATGTTCATTGGTATGTCGTTACTTTATCAGTATATTTAACATTATGTTAAGTTAAGTTTTGTATGATAAACTACGTAAACACACGCCTAAGTCCTAAAATCTCTAATGAAAGAACCGTTGTTTGAGTGGCAGTTTCGCACTTTTGATTTTTCGGAGCTTCCGTAGATTTTACATCACGTGGTTTTGTTTACTAAGAGGCAGCCTGCTTGCAGCACTTAGAAAGGTTAGCAACTTCAGTTATTTGTCATTTAAAGCTTGTAATGTATCGTTTGTAGTAGTAGTTAGCCTTCAAAGACTCGGTTATATTGTGTTTTTTAGAGCTAATGCTAGTTAAAGTGTCTTTTTGGGGTGCTGCTGTTTATTTCTTTATAACACAAGTTTGCCAAATGTGAGGTCCGTTTGACGGGGCTTTAATCAAACCAAACCACCAGCCATGAGGTCTTTGAACTATGTTCAACGGGTCAGCCTGGATTTCACCGGAACTCTGTTTCCTCACGCGATCTGTCTGGGAGATGCAGACAACGACTCGGTAAGTCCCTTATCCTTTCTTTGACGGATTCACTCAGCGAATTTTCTCCAATGATTTACCATGGGGGGTTTGCTGGTTGTATTTGTCAGAGTCTGAGTGTTAGCCGGGTTAAAATGCTGCCTTCGTTTGTTTCTCGCAGCTCAACGAGCTGATCGTTGGAGACACCAGCGGAAAGCTGCTCATCTACAAGAATGACGACTCCAAACCGTGGATCACAAGAACCTGCGTGGGGATGGTCGGTGCCAAACCAGATATCTCGTGTTGGCTGAATGTTTACGTTCCCGTGGCTATGTAAACACTGCTTTATTTCCTTGACAGCTTACTTGTGTGGCAGTTGGAGATGTTTGCAACAGAGGGAAGGTAAGGGGAGATAACCCAGTGGAACCACAATGTATTGACGGCTTTTGAGGGATGTGAGTGATTATTTATGTTTCTTTCAGAACGTTGTGGTTGCTGTGGGTGCAGAAGGCTGGTTTCACCTCTTTGACTTGACCAATGCGGCTGCTAGTAAATCTGATTCCTCCAGCCAGCACGAATTTGTGTCATCTGAGGACCAAAGGCCCTTTTTCACCCAACATATTCCTGCCAACACCAAAGTTCTCCTCATCAGTGATATCGGTACACTCATGCTCTTCTATCGATCTCCTCTGAGGGGGGCGGAGTGTGTACTTCTTTGCATTTAAATCCGACCGCAACCTGTGCAGATGGAGATGGACGCTGTGAGCTGGTGGTGGGCTACACAGACCGAGTGGTGCGAGCTTTCCGGTGGGAGGAGCCGTCGGACAGCTCGGACGTAGGATCTGGTCAAATGGTTCTGCTGAAGAAATGGCTTCTGGAGGGGCAGGTGCGTGGCACAGAACCGTCTCACACTCTTTTATAATCTACCGCAGCGTTTCCCAACCCTGATAAAACCCACCAGGAAGCACTTTTAAAAAAAAATAGAACTGCCATTGATGTTTTTATTCCACTTGAAAAAGCAAATAAATTCTCTCCGTTTCTTAAAAAATGAAACACAATGTCTTACACGACATGAAAAGTATCCACATCCAAAGCGAGCTGGTGATGACTGCGATGCTGTGCTGCAGGTGGACAGTCTGTCCGTTAATCCGGGTCCGGAGGGTCTGCCGGAGCTCATGGTGTCCCAGCCGGGCTGCGGCTACGCCATCCTCCTCTGCACCTGGACGCAGCAGGACTCCACCGACTCTGACGAGGACGCCCCGGCCACACCGGGCAGGTGAAGCCCCTACACGATCCGATCATTGGATTTGAGCCACAGCCCCCTCCCAACAACGATCCCCCATTGTGTTTGCTCGCAGCGAGGGGCCCTCCAGAGACGTCGCTCTGCATCTGACCACGGGGCGCATCCACAACAAGAACGTTTCCACCCATCTCATTGGCAGCATAAGCAAAGGTGAGAAGTCGTGAGCGTCGCACACTCTCTATGTTTTAGAGAATTGGGGCCTCAGATGTCTTTAAAAAAGATGGTTTTATTGGATATAATTGAATATAAATCATTTTAGCCCCTTCAATCCTTTTGATTTTATTCAGTGTGACATAGAAAAGGATGGAAATGGATTCCATTTGATGTTTTTTTTAAGCCTCTTAAAACCTTTCAGCAGATTTATTTTGTATCCTCCAGGTTCAAAAGAGGAATCTGCTAAATGTGGACTGTTTGCACTCTGTACGTTAGACGGTGAGTGAGGACTTCTTTTTTTAAACTTTTCCCCCCTTATGCAATTATAATTCAGCATTTGATCAAATCTGTCATTTGTACCAGGTATCAAAGGTTAGTTTAGTCTTTAGTCAGTTTTCAAAGAAAATGTGGATTCAGTCAGTAGCAAAAAGCTCACAGAAAAAATAGAAGATGATGATCTCTCTCTCTCTCAAAAAAAATAAAATTGAAATATATATATATATTTACTCGCATAGAAAACTTGATTTGATTTTTACTTGTGAAAATTGGTCAGGTCAGTTAGTTCATTCCAACTAAACACAGATAATGGATCTCGGATAAATATGAATAATGTTTTTTATGTCTTTCATCTTACTTTAAAGGGACTTTTCAGCCATCTGTGAATTTGACTTCAGGATGTCTTTATTTCATGACTCAGCAGGTTTAGAATTTTTTTTTTTTTTAAAAAGCCTTTTGTGTGAATAATGTTAATGGGAATACTGTCCATAAAACAGTGTTGTTGTGGCTCTGACGATGTGATTTGATGCAAAGTAAAACATGAATGCCCTAGAAAAGGAACGACTGAGCGGACTTCTTTTTGTGTGGCGGTTAAAGGAACCCTGAAGCTGATGGACAGCTCAGAGCAGCTGTTGTGGTCAGTTCAGGTGGACCACCAGCTCTTTGCCCTGCAGAAGCTCGATGTCACGGTGAGTTTGGTTTTAAGTAGTTCTGGCAGCTCAATATTTCTCGTTGGTATCTAATTTTAACCCTAGATTTTTTTACCCAGTCATTCCTGTTTTATGTAAACCAACTTTGTGCCAAACTGAGCATGGAACAGTTGGTAGAAGTTGGGAAGAAAAAAAAAAGAATTGACGAACAACTGGAAATAAAGAAAATGTTGCCGTCTCTCCTGGATTATCCCACTCTTACGAAATTAGATGATCACTCACTTCTTTGTTTGGTGAACCATAGGTAAAGGTCTACTGATGTGTGTTTGTTTTCAGGGAGATGGCAGAGAGGAAGTGGTGGCGTGTGCCTGGGACGGTCAGACTTACATCATCGACCACAATCGAACCGTCGTGCGGTTCCACTTCGATGAAAACGTCAACGCCTTCTGTGCCGGTGAGACGTCCGGCTGCTGTTCTCCTTAAAACTCGAGTTTGTATTTGTCAGGACCCACTCGGGTCCAGTTGCAGTGACCAGGCACTGAGGCGACTCCTTAACAGTCTTCTGTGGGTGTGACAAATGCCCAATATCCTCAAGGAGCTAAGAATGGCAACAACTTAGCACTGTCCATTTAGTCTTAAGATCAACAAAAGTGGAAATCGTTTAATCGTCCTCCACTTTTATCACTATTTTCCTCCAGTTCCACATTCTAAAAAAATATATATATATTTTTCCCCGTCTAGAGAGGAGCGGGATACACACTAGACTGGTCACCAATCCATCAAAGCAGAATTTTCTCACAAAAAAACATGAAAAAAAACCCCAAACTGAATAGAAAATCTTTTTAAAATTCATTAAAAAACACCCCACCCGCCACCAGTGTGTGCAGAAGGTCCTTCAGGGAGCTCTGGCTTTTTACCAGCAGATGGCGACGTTGAGCTGTGGGCTCTGAGCATACTGCCTGGTCCAAGCCCCCTTCTGCAGTGTTTGAGCAAGCCCCAGTTTATTTAGGAGTTAAAGGGATGCGCGGCAGTAAGTGGATTATGGAGAGAGACTGTTTGATCTGCTGACTCCACTGTGGGTTTGTTTTTCCTTCCTCCTTGCTGGCCTCCACTCCTCTCCTTGCTCTGTGGGATCCTTAAAACACATTTGTTGGTGTTAAAGAGACATTGTGTATTATTTTAAGTATTTCATTAGCTAAAATCATTTTCTTCATTTATAAATGTGTCCTGATTTGGTGTAAAATGACCTTTGCAGTGATCTGGCTTCTCATAAGTGAAACATTTCCTATCTGCATATATGTAGGACGGGCAAGTACAACTCCAGATATACAACAGCAAATACATATATACATGTCCATACATATATATATGTATATATACTATATGTGTATATATACAGATCTAAAATAAGTGACAATGACAGTGCGAGAAGAATAAATAAATGCCAATAAATTATTAAGAATTTACAGAGGTGGGGTGTCTGACTCTCTGAGCGAGGCGTTGTTATTCATTCAATGCCGTTGTAATTTCTGTTAAATTACAAACCTCATTCCCCAGAGAAAACACCATAATATGACAACATGACTTCCATAATATGGAAGTCATGTTGTCATTACTGCTACCGTGGATGAAATACCCATTTGATAACACGAGGCACTAGAGAGCACGGTTTGTTAGAACGAAAAGTACAAATCACCATTAGATAGGAGAAACTCCTACACCGCGTACCTTTAAAGGCGGCATCAGGGGGCCACCACAGTGTTTATTTAGATTCACATGATACGACGGCGCTGAAAGCCACGGCATCCCTGTCTCCTGTCCGTGTGCGGCCGCAGGTCAGTACACCTGCAAGGAGGGCAGGAACAGCCCCTGCCTGGTGTACGTCAGCTTCAGCCAGAAGATCTACATCTACTGGAAGGTGGAGCTGGAGCGCATGGAGTCCACCGACCTGCTGCGAGTGCTGGACGAGAGGCCCGAGTTCAGGAGCCACCTGAAGGCGCTGGGAGTCGGTGAGTACGCAGAAAGCCCCGAGAAACGTGCCCGGCCCCGACCCAATCCAGTTAAAAAACGGGATGAAAACCTTGTGTTTGAGGTTTTCATCCAAACGGAAGGACCACTGTGGGTGTTTGTTTTCAACAATCCCGCTGTTGCTGCCGCATCTAAATGCTAATAATGAGCAAGGAGAAGAGCGATAGATTTATTTCTAACCAGATCCTGATTTGATTCAGAAAGTCTCCACGCTATCACTCATTCATTCATTGTTCATGCTGCTTATTCCGAGTGGGGCTGCTTTCAGTATTCAGTACATAATAAATAAATAAATAATAAATAAACGTAATAATATGATGTAGTATCTCTTTAGCTGTGCATTTTCTATGCTACAAATTACTTTGTTTCTATCCAGTCACGTGACATGTCCCATGCCTCCTAATCTTAGGCGCAGCAGACTGGGAATAACTAACACCTTTTCCCACACACTTGCTTTATTTTTTATATTTCTTTTGCTTATTTCATAAGGTTGCCAGGTTTGATTCCTTGTATGCAAAGCCAACCGGCTGCACCTCTTCGCTTCATACTCTGGAGATGATAACCCAGTCGCTTCAGTCATTGTACCCCCACAAGCTCAGAAGGAAGGAGGTCAGGAAGGAATTAAATTGAGTTTGTGATTTTAAGAGGGTTCTCTGAAGAAAAAGGAAAAAAAAGACCCCGTAGCCTGTCAGTTCAAATGAGCTCCGGTTTCGTCTCTCTTGCATGTCTTTATCTTTTATAGGCCTCGTTTCTGTCCAACTCTACGGTTCAGAGTCTTTGCGACACCGTCTTGGTGACACACACAATCCCCGCTGAGTCAGTCTTTGTGACGGAACACTGCAGTTGTTTTTCCCACCTTAATTTCCTCTGTTAATTGACTTCCTTGGTAGAACATTAATCTTGTTCAGGTCTCGGTCGTTTTTTGCAGTCCCTGCTCACTGTCATGTAAATCTTCTTTTTTCCGGAGGTGGAAGTTGTTAAAAGAATGACTAATTATCCTGTTAAGAAGGAAGAAAAAAAACAGGGTGGGGAACCACTTCTGAGGGAAAAAAATGTGATGACACTCTAAAATAATCATTAGTAAAACTTACTGGAGCGTCATAATTACAAACTGGTAAAGGGTGAGTCGAAAGGCAAAGGATACCACTTTTAGTTTAGACATATTGACATATCTCAATACCCCAGCAAATAATTAGTGCGGGGGGGGGGACCTGTCATTTAAGCTTTGTTTCAACATGGCCGCCATGCGGAAAGCCGCCATCTTGGATTAAAAGGAATGTTTTTATCGGAGAAGACCAGATTTCCCTCATAAAATTGATCTCCTCAATCAAAATTGCCGTATCTGAGATGGTTCAAACATTCTCAACGTTGAAATACGCAACTTCAGTATAGCAAAGTATTTTTTTTTGTTTTTGTTTTTACTTATCGAAGAGGCAACAAGTGAAACGAGTAAGTGGTTTGTTTAAATAAGGTCAGCCGCTCCTTTGTGGCCATTTTGAGAGTTCTGATAGATTGACTTCAGCCGTGGACTGTTGTTTAGCAGGACGAGGTAAGCGGGTTTGTGTGGAAATCAATGATTGGAAGATCGCTCTGTGAAGTTTGGCTTTTCTGCCCTTTCGAGTACGTTTTTGCTTAGCGTGCAGGTGGATGAATACAGGCCCACTGTCATCCATTAACTCCCCTCAATCTGCCACCATCCACAATGTGTTGGCATGATATTATAGTTGTCCCGTTGAGCTTTTCTTTCTTGTAAAATGCATTTTATAGTCTCCAACTGAAATCCAATGGTAAACATTTGTAGGTCAATAAAAAAACAACTTTATCAATTGTAATAATCACATTGAAGAATACACAACTAGGAAAAAGAAGGGAGCTAAATTTGCCTTCAGGTTTGGCCTGTATTATGTATATTGATCATATCCAGTGGATTTTCTTTTGATTTAAACTCAATGTAGTGCAGCTTTATGTTTCGCAGATGGATTTTTAAGCAGATGGATGTTTGCTTTTTCAGAATGTTTTTTTTGTGTAATCTCACATTTGGGGACTGGGGTTTATTCTGTAGTAATGTTCTTTTGAATATTTCATTTGGTGTTTTAATTATTCATTGTGTAATTCTGTTTTTTGCCTCGTGGGTAAGAACAAAAAGAACTTTGAACAAAAAATGTATTTCCATCCTCATGAATATTTTGAAAGTGTTTTTTTTTTCTTTCTTTCTTTTTTAATCCACATCCTTTAAATCTTCCTCTAGTATGATGCAGTGCTACCGGTGATCAAAACTCTAAAGAATGCATATCTGAAAGCCAAGCCAGCCAGCATACAGGAAAACACTTGAATTATTTTTGCTTTGAAGACGCCGCATTGAGCTTGCATTAAAATTGAATTCATTTTAAAAGGAGGAGTGGACTTTGTTGAAGCGCTGGCAAGTGAAGTGGACCAGAAACCAGCAGGGTTTGTCTGCCTGAAGGTCTGAAATTGACTTAGGAATATTGTCAGTTAGTACTGAAGTCTGTGGATGCTGTAAATCAGCACTATGCAGCATAACCCCTGTTGATGCTGTCACAAATGTTCATTTTATTTGTATAATGAGTGGATGAGTGGGTGTCCCCAAACCCGTGACAGCAGAGGAACTATGTTTTGTCTTAAGTATCTCATAAAGTGCTGTAATAAGTTAAACTGCTACAGTGGGACTTAGATATTTGGGTCATGTCAGCAGTGTAGCTGCAGACAGAAAACACACAAAATGGAAGAGAGAAATGGCTCCCACAGCTGTCGGGGAATACATAATTGATCACTGACAGGACACGGAAAGTCAACTAAGATTACCCGACGGCGTCCCGGACTTCACAATGGAGGATTATGGACAGTCTTAGGCTTCTGGGGGTGTGTGGGTGGGTGGGGTGGTGCTTCCCAGCTCATCAGCACTTCACTGTCTGTGTCACAAACACATTTACTAATTCGTCTTTATCGTTGCCGTTTCCTGGCTGTGAAAAATCACCACTTGGCCCGCAGCCTGGTCCAGACACCAATAAAGACAATTTGATCCATAATTGATGCACAGCTTTTTTAGAAATGTTTTTTTACATAATGCAAAATTGTCATGCATGTACACATTGTGTTTTGCCTCGACAGATGCTGAGGATTCAGCTGCCGTAAAAGACCTGGTGGCAAACCTCCTTTACCAGGATTCACGGACGTAGCGCATCCACACATGTCACCGCTCTGCCTCTCTCTGATTCCCACCCCTACCCCCCTCCCCCTTCCCCGAATGTAAACAGCGCTCTAATAAACCCTCCCTGTCCTTCCCCCGTGCGGCTGGTGGCGTTTTCTTTGTTTTTCCCGTCAGAAAAGACGTGCCAGGCTGAACGCTTTCTGAAGAATCTCAGACCTGCACGCTGCCTCTGTCATTGGTATTCCGTCCGCCCGGGTTGCCTTTAACGAAACAGAGGGAGGACGAAAGCAAAAAAGGATACATGCAGGAGGGAAATGCTGCACTGTTTAACCCGCTGCTTTCCCCCGCTGACTGAGTTTTCTGTCTGTCAGAAAGGAGCCTCCTGACCAAAACGGAGGTCCATCCTTCCCTGTCATCCCCCTGTGGCTTCACAAATCTGTTTTATCTGGTGGATCTGAGCAAGGATGCAAAGCCCCGCAGATCTTACGTAACGCGGCCTGTGTTGCGTAATGGCGCCGGCATGGCAGCCAGACGGCAGCAGAGCCCGCCAGCTGAGCGCCAATCGGCCAGCAGGGCGTGACCAACGGAGGGGTTGAGGGGGAATCACCCACTGTTCCTCCGGGGAGGATCCTATAACCACCTCTGCCTCTCCCATGCAATATAGATGAGGTGTGCGCCTGAGGGAGGGGCTCGGGTGTCCTGGAGGGCCGCAGCCTCTCCTCTGCCCTTTAGATGTGTGCTCCAAACCCCGTACCCAGAGCTCTGAGGTTTCACCCGATTTACTATTTACAGTTTGTTTAATTGGTACCCGTGTTTTATTAAAGTTTGACATTTCCGGGCATGTTCTGGTAAAAGAAAAAAAAAGCCTTCATTCTACACTTTCCACCGACAGATAACAGTTTATGGTCTCGTCGCTAAATAACTCAAATGTTATTTGACTCAAATAACTTAAAACGTGCCCATGAGGCAGTGGTTTATCCTGTTAGAAGCATCCAGTGATCATGCACAAATAATATCATAACTTGTGAATGAATAGTGAAAATGGTGTCCATGGTGGTGACTGGTCGCATTGTAGAAAGAATGTATTTCAACCCTGCCAAAGCACATGGGGGATCATCTTTTATTCAAGAGGATATGTTTTAGATGAGTAAGAAAGATTTGTTGTTTTCGTGCTTGGTCGGTTTCATGATGTAAAATGTTTGGTTTTTTATTGTATATAATAACATTATATCATATAAAATTGGTTTGTGAAGCTATATAAAGATAAAAACTGCATAACGTTTTTAATAATTTCAGTTATTTTTTTTACAGCTTTTGTTAAATCACTTTTAATCAGAAGCATCTAAAGGCCAAGAGTCTTGAGTAATCATCTGGCTCCTCTCATACAATGATCAATCAATTGAGTTGATTTCGGTAGTTAAAAATTAGCACGGAAACTGAAGTTTTCACATTATCAGCACGTCCTCTGTGCCACTGCAGCTTTTCCTTATAAGCGCTCGGCATTCCTGTGCAGTGAGCTCACTCCGAGTCGTGTCCGAGACCTTTCATGGTCAAGCAGGACCAGGATGTTGTGCTCAAGTTCGTGCAGATACTATCGGACGTACTCCAGATGGGGTGAGGCAATTCAGCCGGTCAGCTGGAAACGGGCGCCCATCCCTCGTTGCCTCTCCGATCTCCCGGGGAAAATGTCAGCCTGTTTAGCATGCAGAGGCCTCCCTGGTTCACGGTGACTTTTGCTCCAATATTTTCTCTTCACAAGCTCTCAGCTCTCATGAAAACATGTCTCGGACATCTGACCCCCTGACATAAGCATGAGGGGCAAAAGGCTTTGTCAAGATCCAGCCGACGTTGTGGGCGTACATGGATTTGCTATTTTAGTCACACTGCATCCTTCACAGACCACGTTAAAAAAGACAAACGTGCCCTTTTTTAGCAGCAAGAATACAGACGCCGGGACGAGACGGATCTTGTCTTGAGGGGCCATGTTGACTTTTTCATTTTAGGTTTTCTATCGATAAAGCAATTGTATCCTCCAGTATTGTTGCTAATTTTAGGATTGGAATTAAATAAGGAACAATGCAACATTTTGGTCAAATTCTAAAAGCAGACGCTTTCTTATTTTACCTAAACAACCCAATTCATTGTTTAAATATTCATTTAATCAGACTCTTATTTTTAATCTGAGATTAGGTCTTGTTTAGGCTTTGTTACTTAGGTCAACATTTACCCTGGCAACAATGTCTCTGTGAAATACCACTGCCATGAGACATTTAACCGACTTATAAATCCATCAGGAAGGCCCTGCTCATAAAAACTGACAGCATCCAACCACACTTCCTTGAGGCTGTTTTGCTCTGTGTTCTAACATGAACTTTACCTAAAAATTATCTGTGAAAGAACTGATACAATTCAAATAAAAACATCTCCTAAGCCTCGGGATGCTGCAACTCATGAACCAGAGCAGATAAAATGTAGTATTTTCCTAATCATACCCACTTTGTCTTATATAATTTAAAGCTGATCTAGTTGTAAAACCTTGACAGCACAAAGAAAAACCGACTCAATGCAAAATACTTTTTCATTACTACTCATTTTTAAATATCATCTGCTTCTTTTCTATTAGCTGAACCACGATTGGCCAGTAAACTCTACTTGCACATTGTTTCGTCAGCTGAGTTAATCTGATCATTTAAAGTACTGACATTGTCAGTATGAGGATTGCCTTATCATGCATCTTCTATTATTTCCTATCAATGTGGTGACTATCACTCAATGGGAAAGGCAGTATCAGAATAGAAGCAGAGGATTTTTTCCCCCTCCATACTGTCCATCCTTTCAGTTTGAAAGGGGTTGAGAGTGTAATTCTGACAGACAGACGACTGGATTCTTACCCAAAGAGGGGGAGGGGCTGACGCGGTTCCCTCCATCAAACCTCTCCGAGCCGCTGTGAGGACTGACACTTCTGATTAACAACACTCGGCTTTAGAGTTTCCCCATCTCTGCAGGCTCACAAGCAAATAACTGCTCCTAAAAGCGGCATAAAAGATCTACTTAATCGCCACTGGATTTATCTCCCAGATTTGTGGGGGTCTGTAATCTGACAGGCTGCTTGATTATACCCAGCATGCCCCCAAAATGTGACTGGTTGGGTTTACTTTGAGACTGACAAGCTGAATAGAGGAAGAAGAAAAACTTGTTTTTATTTTATTTTTTATTTATAGAATTACATTAAAAGGCCTGTTCAATATGCACCATAGAAATAATCGTAAAAAAAGATTTTTATAGATGAAAAAGAAGCATTATATTTTTTTGTAAAGGCTCCAAACATCCATTGTGGTGCTTTTTTTTTTTTTTAAACCACAGCTTAACAAAAAGAAACAACTCTGTTGCCAGGAGACCGTGCTACCTTGATGCATCATCTGGAAACCCACTATTACGTTCAACGTTTTTGTGTATTTTACCTTTGATGATACAGGAACAAACAACTCTTGGGTTCCATTCTTCTTCTGTTGTGTCGGAGGATATGTCAATGAGATCAGTTCTAGCGAGGAAACCAGCCTTTTATTTATTTTTATTTTTTTAAAGGGTGGGTGGGGGCCGTCGGAAGCTGTTGCCTGAGAAACCATTTTGGCCCTTTTCTCTCCCGCCGCGGACGTTTCTTCTCCCTTTTTTAAAAAAATTCAATGTTATGTTTGCCCACCAGTGCCACTTAGTCAGGTTTAGAAAATGCCAGGCATGGTTTGGCATGGAATACGGTATTTACTTTACCAGCTCATTGCTCGCTATCTGCCATGTGGTGGCAGAAACATCAGGCTGCTTGGGCCGGGGACATTTGACATTAGCAGAGGATGACCGATTCTCGTCTCTTGACGTAACTTGTTTACATAGTTCCCAAGGGACTAGGCTGTAGATAAACCCCTGAGACTAACTATAAAACTTTATAAACGTACACGCATTCTGTAGCATTCTGCTCAGAACATACTTGGCAAGTACTTTTAGAACAAGGTCCAGTTTCCTGACTCCTTCAACGTAAACATTCTGGCATGTCGGCCATAGTAAGGGTCAAAGCACTTCTTTTAGCTTTTTTGGTCGTGTCATTTAGGAAACAACATTGGCGCAGTTCTTCTGACAAGCTCAAGGTTCTATCTTAATCCCACGTGTCCTCAAGTTTCCACACAGTTTCAGTTTTTAGATTGAGGATATTTCTTGAATGTGAAACCTTCATCGAAGCAGCTGCCGTGTTGGAATTTGTGTGTGATTTTTCATCCTCGTTGACATGCGGGTGCTAGCCCTGGCAATGTTTTTGGCACGTAGGTGGATGTCTTGAAAAAACTTGAAGCGTCCTCCTCATTCGCCGCTGTGTAACCCGAAGCCAAAGAGCTTCCAGACCTGTCACCCATCCGGTTTTGACACAAACCTTACCAGTCGGTTTTTGGCTTTAAACGACCCCAACTTTTCCACAGAGATTCATTTATTTCGCATCAGACTCTACTGGTTACATAAAAGAAATTGCGCGTTGGTCACATGACTCTCCTCCAGTGCTCCACTTCAGATGGTTATTCAGCACCACGGCTGTTGATTTACAGCTAATTACTTTAACTCACTCTATCTGCCTGTGCCGTTCCGGTTTTATGTGGAACAGCAGCCATCAGAGCGTCATACATCGAGAACAATATCCCCGCCTTGAATGGGCCGTCGGTTTCGTTTTGCTCTCATTTCTACAAGATGAATTATGAATGCCCTTCTCACCGTGTGCTCATTTCCGCAGTGATTAGTTGTAAGCAGGAAATGTGTATGTTGTGTATGTGTATGTCTTCTCTGAAATGATCCCCGGAGGATCTCACTCGGATGAACTGCTTGCTCCGTAACACGCTGCTTTTGCCACATAGACTTGGTCCGATCAATATCTCCCCTCATAGAAATTCACTCTGTGGGTATCAGGTGGGTCCCCCCCCAATTCAATTCAATTTTATTATATATTATATATTATTATAGTGCCAAATCACAACAACAGCGCTTTCCATTAAGAGCAGGTCAGGCCGTACTCTGAAATAATTGAAAGAAGCCCAACAATTCCCACCAAAACCAAGCACTCGGCGACACAGGCAAGGAAAAACTTCCTTTTAAGAGGCAGAAACCTCGAGCAGAACCATGGCTCAGGATGGGCGGCCATCCGCCTCGACTGGCAGATGAAGCAAATGATTCTATTGAAAGAGATGAAGGACAAAAATAGATTGCCAGCTATTTGTGGCAACAGGCAAAGTGAAATTCTCTGGTGACAGACTTCCTGGTGTGGGAGTGAGCACGGAAACGAGCAGCTATGGAAGGTCCACAATGAAATGAAGCTTCTTGTGCCCACGCTAACCCTCCGCTGCTTTTCATTATCTGAAGTAGAGGAGATACTCTTCGTACCTCCTCTTGTAGAGGAGGTACTCTTGGCAGTCAGGAGAGACTTTTCTATTTGTTTCGCTGTTTCAAGTCGAGGATGCCTTTTGTTTTGTTTTTTCAATTTCATTCATTTAAAACCAAATCCAAAATGTCTTGTCCAATACGCCTTGAGCTTTAGAGGGCAGTTTCTATCTGTAAGTCAACATGCTGGCGTCTAAAAACCATGTTGGTGCTGTGATTCACCTGTTTGTTACCTGTACGTGTAAAAAGAATGAATAGACATGTCATTTTCTTTTGTGTTTGCACAACAAATCAGTTTTACAGATATCCAAGGGTTTATTTAACAATGTGCTAAAGCTAATGGCCATTGATACACTGAGCTAAGAAGTCATCTTGAGGAGATTTTAAATGTTTTTCTACCTGTTTATTTCACTTTTATAATCTAGCCCCTTAGATTTCTGGTCCTGGCCTGTTGAAGTCAAATTTCACTATCCCACAGAGCTCCATTTATCACCAATGCTAATTTTAAAATTGCTGAACACCTTGGTGACACATTCAGCTACTACGATAATTATGGCTAATGTGTTTATTTATGCCGCCAGAAATACATAATGATCCATTTGATAATATTTCCTAATTATTTGCCAATTTAGCCCACTTTTAGCAGTTCTGCCTGAAGGAAAAATGTCACATTTTTTAGGAAAGTACACTGACTAATTCTTTAAAATGGGTCTATTTCAGTAACATGTTAAAAGAGAAATTTTAGAAAATTCTGTTGCTTTGTTTGTCTGTTTGCTAGAAGATTAGGCAATGACAGCATGCTTTGGCCATTGAAATTACAAAAATTCAATACTCATCGTCCAAAATGAATTAAAAAAAGTCTGGAATGTTCGTCAAAGCCTTTTTCAAGTAGCCGGTGATTATCATGCAAATTTTGGAAACATATGCAGCACTAACGGACAGTGACATTTGTTTTGAAAAACAAATAAATGCTTAGAGAAAGAAGAGCTTAATGTTGCTCTCAGTCGTGTTATGAGCATTAGGGACTTTACCTCAGGGAAGGCAAGAACCACAGAAACCTTCAGAATATGTCCCTTTTGTGTCCATTTATGTCATGTGTGTGCTTATATCTGTGTCCAGAGGTAGTGGAGGTGTGATAATTATTTGTGTTCAGTGTTGGAGATATGTTTTTTGTGTTCAGTCTACCCACTTCTTAATCCTATTTTAAGTTTTTTAGCATTTAGTAGTAATAAGCTCCATTTGTGATCAGCTACAACAGCAGCTGTATGCCTGGACTATGCTTTTTAAATACATGTCAACTTAAGAAATGGATTTCATGATGGGTAATATTATTCAAAGACACGCAAATGTAACCACTATCACTTCGTGATAATAAATAATCTAGCCAGAAAGCACACGCCACTGGCCCTGTCCATGTCCCCCATCCTAAGTCTCCAACAGTTTTCTCAGTGCTTATCGGCGCTTTCCCAAAATGTTTCTGATCTCTGTCACCGTGCACAGTAATTGTCATTTTGAAAGCTGTGATTTTTTTTCATCTCTTTGCTCAAAATTAATATCTTTAATCAAATGAGGCAGAATGTTGCCTCTGCGGTTTCCCCCAACATACTGTGACTGATTATGGAAAAACTCAAATAATAACAGACTTGCAATTAGTTCCTAAACTTGTTTCAAGATTTGTGTATTTGATTTGCTAATGACTAGTTTTTTACGCATGTACACCAAAGCAGAGTTTTGCGTTGACTGCTGATCGGCATAGTTTGTAAAAGCTGTGAAACACTAGATTCATTCATATGTGTGCAGAAGCACTTTTTTTTTGTCAGAACACATGAAAATATCACGCTCCCATCACATCTGCCAAATCATTATGTGAACATTTCATGCAACCCAATAGCTGTTATAGAGCTGTGGCATCAATGCTTATTCTTAATTATCTCTAGAATATCATTTTTTAAAAATACCTTAAAAAGTTGGAGGGCTGTATTCTAAGTCTGTGGTGCTTGTGTAACTTTAGGGGAGTCGTTCATCATGGTTTGTGAGAGCGTGGGGAGGTCATTCTGTAACATAAGAGTACTTTTAGTCCTCAGGATGGAGATTTGTATTAGTCATTCTGCCCAATTTAGTTCAAAATCCGCTATTTGTTCCTTTTTGTTGTATGAGAGGATGAAGCACTGCATTTATGCAGCGTTTTGACTGCAGATGGGTTGATAGAACTTAGAAGTCATGAGGTCGACGCCGTTTTTTTTTTTTCGTTTCCCTCCTTCACAGAAACAGTCAGTGTGTGGTTTGGAGACAGTCCCCCCACAGTGCACTTGTCGCAATGTACCAGAGCAAAAAGGAAAAGTACAAGTTTCATTTCATGTGAGAGCACTTGGGCGGTGGAACTTTCCTGCGAGGCGTGCTGACAGGATGTGGTAGCCAAACTGACTCAAAACAAGTGATGGAGCAGATTGAGAGGGCTTTCCTCTCACATGGCTTGCCGTGCTTTTGTGTTCATTTTCTCTCCCCCTGTGTCACTGTGGACTACAATGAGCAACGGGCTGGTGGATTAGCGGGGTTTGGACGTGAACAGCTTGTTCTTAGGAAACTTTGCAAAGTGTATTCATAGTTCACGTTCCCCTTTGCTTAAAGAGGGTTTCCAGTTGTACAGATCTTCTCAAGAGGGTTGATCTCTTAGCGCTCGTGGTATATTAAAAAGTCCAAGAAATCCACATATTGTTTCAATAAATTATTCAAAAGTGAGTCAGATAAACAGCAATGAAACTGTAGACGTAAATTAATAAAAATTCTAGTATTCTATAGTCTATATATATATATATATATATATATATGTGTGTGTGTGTACTGTATATGTAAATGGGTAACTTGCATGGTGACTTTAATTCACCATGGTCAACATTCAGAGACCTGCCTTTAAACTTGACTTGCTAACTTCTTAAAAACCTAACCGTTCCCCTCAAAAGTGGGTAAAAACAACTCAGTAATTCCCTTGACAGTATTTTTGTTTTTCTGTCATGGAAAATATGCCGTACGGTGGGACAAAATCCTTCAATGGTCAATTTGGTCAGCTATCAAACCCCCCACCCCCACCCCCCCACTGTTGTTGGAACATCTGCTTTCTCTGTTCTTTATATATAGAAGGATGTGCCACTTAAGGGCATACCCGGGGGGGTGTTGTAGTGGGAATCAATGCAGGGGCTGCTCAGACTTTTTTTATGGATGAGCCCTCCTGTAGACTGTCTGCTGGCTGATATTTTTACAGACATCAGGAGTTTACAGACTCTACCCACCTGCTTTTCCATGTAACAATACTCTTGTGTCTTGCTTGTCTCTGTGATGCACCATTAAATATCCAAGCATCAAAACAAACCGCGCTTGCCAGAATGCATATTTTATTAGGCAGAGAAAATACTGTTCAGAGGAAGAAAAACACCAAAAATAAATTTCTTTCAAACATCGATTCCCCCTCACACGGCATAGGAAAGTCACTGTACGTCAAAGAGAAACAAAACTTTGCCAATCCACGTGTGACTGGGCGCCAGTGGTCAGTTACGTGGACGGTGAACGGCACGGTCAAAAGAATCACGTGGCTCGGGTGTGGTGAAAGCAGAGCTTGAAGGCCTTCGGTAAGTACTTCCTGTTGCTTGTCATTATAAAAGCAGACAATGGGGTGACAAAATGGTGGGAATGTTTGTTTTTTTGTTTAGATTTTCTCCGGATATGGACAGAGCTGCAGAGATGAGGTGGCAAAATAGAGTACACAAATGAGACCGGTGCTCTGAATGCTGATGAGCTTCGAGAGGAGGTCTCGGCACTGCGAGTGATTGGAATCTCCTGAAAAAAGGCCGAGAGGGAAGGCAGCTGGGGTCAGCTTTTGGCAGCTTGTTCTGTTCGGAGCTCGGTCGGGGGAACATGGGAACAGATCCACTTTTTCCCATGTGAACCAGGAGCCGGTACGAGGCAGAGAAAAGCCCGCTTTGACTTGGGACACACATGCTGACTAAAAACACGAACCGGCCGGCCCCTTCGGACTTTCAACGCGACGTAATCTGACTAGTTCACTACATGCAGACTTATACAAAAGCAGAACTTTACAAAGTCATGCAAGATGGAATGTTTAGAATTTGTCTTCTTTTTTTTTTTTGCCAGTCTGAATCTGACATATTTTGCTGGTTGCTTGAGAGAATACTTTATTCTTTTAAAAGGAATTTATAGAAAACTACAATTGTCAACGTAGGCCACCATGACAGGCTGTGAGTGTGCTTTATTGAAACACAACTCCATCATTTATCCGATGTGGAAAGAAAATAATTAGATTTACAGAACTCATATATCAGGACTTCAGAAACGGTGACCAGCATAATTGGAGTTGAGAATCCATCCGTTTCTGTCACCGAGGCAGCCTGATCCACACCTAAGTATGTGGTTTTAAAAACATCTTTCTCTCATGGCCGTCTTTGAACATATTTTAAAAGGCAGCTTATGCAGTAGCTCACTATCCTAACACGTTTGTTCACAACTGGTCACATTGCGGCACGCGGTCACGCCGGTTTCCAACACACAGATTGTCCTTTTACAGCCTCTTAAATAGCTGGGACACTACCATCAGCCTTCAACTGGGCTGCAGGCTGCTGACCGAGGATTTAAAAACAAAATGAGGAGAGAATGAGAAAAGGTTGTCTTCTCATTCAGGATGGTGATAGAATGTAATATTCTCTTGTCTTAAGGTTACTTCCAGGAAATGCTGGCTCAGCCCAAACTAAATGAACCCAAATCTCACTAAATTAAAGCCACTGCAGAAGTTTAGTGGTTCCCAACCTGTGATACAACAAGTAGCTGTGTTAACTAAATAATAATAAACATTGATGGGGGTTCAAACTAAGCATATAATGTTTTTCAAAAAATCCAAATGATAGCACAAGTGCAATATAAAACAGATTCAAGTCATAAACATTTATATTCAGAATAAATGCTTTGCAATATGAAAGTTGAAGGTGATGGAGAACTTGATCTGATTGGATGGATGCATACATACATATACATTTTTTTCACAAAAAGAAAAGAGAACCACTAGTTTGGCTGAACCTGACAGAGAGATTTCAGGTTGTATTGTTAGAGACAATTGTTTTCCCCAAAAAATATTAGCTTTTAATGTGACTTTTAGACTAAATATCTCTTATTGTTCAACATTTTAGTGATTACCATTCTGAAAAATGGTAGACAACCATCAAAAGAGAAATGCTGACCAGCTTTAAAAAAAAACAGATAACTCAAAAAGAAAAGTTACAAATATTAACAGAAGAAATGGTGCTGTAGGCTAATATATATTGAAATTATCCAAATTTTCAATTACATTTTTTCAAAATATACTTGATAATTCCATTTAGGTTTTAATTATTGATTTCCACTTTAAAGAAACTCATAGTAAAAATAGACGATTAGACTTACAGAGACTTAGTTTTGCTTTGTGAAGTATTCTAATATAAGAGAAAAAATCATGGCATGATGTCAGCAAACTCAGAGGCGTAAACTCAAAGAACGGTGGAGGTGAATGCTCATCCGTGTTCTGGCAGTTAGAGATGCTGTGACTGGACGGTCCGGACGCGGATGGCATCGGTCTGCACTTCTGCAGCCGGTCACGCTGAGGAGAAACCGTCACCCCCCCCAAACTCCCGCAGAGTGGGGCTCACAGGTTCTCGTTGGTGTCGTGTTGGCACTGGCTGTCGGTGGAGGGGTTGAGGAAGGGAAGCTCCTGGCCGCAGCCCCGCAGCCTCAGAGCCCGACTGCCCAGATCCAAACAGCACTGGAGAGGAGGGGGGGCACACGGGGAGACCTAATTAGAGCACTGAATAATTCATGCAGGTTGCCGGGCTGAGACTGGAGACTAATCTGAAGAGTGTGAGGCCGTGTGAGAGAGCACACTTACATGTAAATACAGAAATCCATGTACAAAATTGCTAAATGGTCCCTTCAAGCCTGTGAATCATCACAATTGAACATTCGCCCCATTCGCTTTAGCTTTCACACTCAGAATGAGTGAGATGCAAATCAAAAGTGCTAATCACCTTTTTTTAACCGTTCCCACTAAGCCCTTGCAGTTTTCTGTTTTTTAAACCTGCTCTGAGAGCAAAAAAGTCAACAACAGTGAAATGACAATTGACAAAAAAAAAAAAAAAAATTCACATACAGTATGCTATGAAGCTCGAAAGAGCAACGCACAACATTTTCGGAAGCAAAGAGCAGTCAGTAATATTGATTTATTCTAACAGGAAAGTGTTTTTCTCGCAGCTGCCCTGCTAAAAATATCCTGAGCCTAACCACACCACGTCCCAAATGGGTCCTTTTACAGAATTAGAGCTCATGCTCCTTTCACACCCTGAAGTTCCTCTCTAGTTACATTTGTCACATGAAAATGAAAACAGCACATTTAAACGCTAATAGAATGGACCCACTAGTTTAAAATTGGTTCATCTTTTTCTTTACGTGAGCATGTGCAACTCGGGGGGGGGGGGGGGGCGAAACGTGAAGAAAAAGGATGGGGGAAATCCCTCTTTCCTGCTTTTTCATTTAAAAAAAATGCATCTATAACTATAAATCCTATTTAAATATTCCCTTTTATATGGATATGCTTCTTCTTCTGTCTTTTTAGCTCAAAGGAACCATTTCAGGATTGCTGGCTCTTCAAAGACAGCACACCAAAAGAAACCACAAAAAAAAGACACAAAAGTAATTAAGGCCTTACTTTAAGTTCCAGCAGAGTCTGCAGACCCAGGCACAGCTCAAACGCCTCATCCTCTAAAGGTGGAAAAAGAGGAAAGATAAGAGGCGACTGAACGCAGAGAAATTAGAGCGAATAATGGGAATGCTCTCTGGAAGCGACTGACACCCGTTCGTTAACACGTTCCTCTGAAGATGCATAAATTAACTAAAAGTTCAACTGTCAGTACTGCAAAAATATTCCCTCCTGTGATTATGTGAGGTAAACATGTACTTGTGAAAGTAGATTTGAGTTTATGTGCGTGGTGAAAGGTGACTGAGTCAACTGCATAATATCAATGAAAATCTATACAATATATTTAGTCTGATTACGTTTAATCGGTGTGAATAGGTTTGCGCTTTCTTAAAATATTTCACCTGCACAAAAGGCAGAAGAACAATAACCATGACCAAACACACGAAGGATGGAGACAGTCCTTAAAAGTGGCGACTGTGAGCTCTAAGAAAAGCGTAATATCTTTGATTATATCACAGAGAGCCCTTAAAGGAGATATATCATGACAATTTACAACTTTATATATCTGTTAGATATCTCGACAAGACTTGTAATGACGTGATTCAGAGTTCAGATCACTACTTCTGGCCATATATGCCAATTCATCGTCTGCCTCCAACGAGCCGTTTTTCCTCCTGTCTCTTTAAGCCACAGCCTTTGAATAACTTTAATCTGATTGAACAATTTATGGAGGCCTGTCCAGTGGCCACAACATGCTCTCGATAGTTGAGTTTCCTGCCTTTTATAGCAGTGCATACCGCACACAGATAATCATTTAGTGGGGAAAAAATCCTTGATGATGTCAATTTGGCTTGAACATAAAGTCGAAAAAGGGTATTAAAGCAATATGAAATTGGAGCTTTTTCCTCGTCGTGTGTCTCTATGATAAGAAAAACCTGTAAAATTGTCTCTTTACTTAAATCTGCTGTTATGCAGTTATGTTCGTTAATAATGTTCTAACATAGAACTTTAATTTGAGTATTACGTTTTCTAAACATCTGCGTGTTTTTATTGGCTGCCTCCTAGCTGCTGTTAGCATTTCATATTCCAAACTGCAGCTTTACAACAGGAAGCATTGTTGTGTGCAAGCACCATAGTTGTCCTCCATCCATCCATTTCTTGGCAGTAAAAACTTCCCCTACATTCTTGAAGACATCAAAACGATCGAATTACCAAAAAGCTCAAACTTAGTTAGAAAAACTATGACTTCGGCCTCTGTTTTTAAGCTATTCTCATCAAAATCTTCCAGTCAAATAAATGCAATTCCTCTAATTCCTTGTTTTTGGCCTCTGTTCTCTTCATGCTACGACTGGGATCTCTTACCTTTCACGTAGGCTGAACACTGGACGGTCTGTCTGCCCAGCTGCAGCTGCAGATCTGTCACTGAGCTGCCCACACCGCACGATGAACCATCCTGACTGGGCACCAGTCTAACAGCGAAACACACACAGCGACACTAATACGTACATATTTGGTACATCTAATTCAGTAAGCTGCTCTGGCTGACTGCCAACTGATTTCGGTTTCGATGATCTGACGAAATATCTTATTAAAATGTCAATCAATAGCTGCTACAGCAAGGCTTTTTTTTAAATGAGGAAGAGTAGGCTCATATGAGCCCTTTTTAGTTCCATTTGAGTCTATATTCCAAAGATTAAATAAATAAATAAAAAATTGTTTCAACAGCTTATTTGCTTTCATAAGGGATTTTTTAACAGCTAATTAGTCTTTTTTTAGCATTGTAAATAGCTCAGAATCTTCAAAAGATGGCATCTTTGGTAAATGTGTTGTCGGCTACTTCTGCTGAGCGTGCAGTTTCTTACCCTAGCCTCTGGCAGCAGGAGGTGGAGATGTGGTTATGTAGGCTGCCGGTGTTGATGGAGGCCTTGACTTCCGTCTGGCGGCACTGGGGAGGGGACGGGGGGGGGGGGGGGGGGCAGAGGGGGGGATTTTTGTGTCACAGCGTGATTTTCCACTTTATTCTGACATCGCCGCGTGCACGGAAACAATTTGTCAGCGCAGCTTATGAACACAACACCGGGAAGCCTTTGAAAACCACTGACGTCTTCTCTTTCAAACAATTACGTTTGTTTAAAAAGAGAGCGCCTCGCAACGCTGCCAAGCTGAGAAATAGAAAGTACACGTTGATTATCATTCATAGAAAGATTAGTCAGACTTGATTCGTCCGCCCCCCCCCTCCCTCATCTGCAGGCACCGTGTTGCGGCCTCAGACATTTGACCGACCAGCTGGACACTAATCCATAACTGTGAGGTTGCAGGTAGGGAGTTGTTTTGTCGTTTTTGGCTAATTCACCCAGACTGGAGACTGGCGTGGCTGACTGAAGGTGCTGATTCTTCCACATGTTGAGCGCACTTTGATTTTTTCTGTTTTTTTTAAGACTCACGCATCAATGAAGCATGAAATTCTGAGCGAGTGAGTCAGATGTGCACATTGAACTCAGCGCTCAGCTGGTTGCGCTATGAGGAGTGAAACGTGCGTGATGAGATTTATGGTTGGGATGACTCACTATTCTTTTAGATTCCTCAAGATTTTTCATTAAGCCTCATTATATATACATTTAATTCAGCTCAATTCAAGTGGTTACAACCAATGTTATCTGTATTTCTCTCATACCCATGAATCAGATGATGTGAGGTGGTGATGAGATCATTTGCATCCAGTCATGCGTTTAGATTTTTTTTCTTTTTTCCTGGAACATGCTTCCTGTCACATCTCTCAGAAGCATTAGGTTCGATTTTGGAGGGATGGTGGTGGTTTAAGTCACAGGACTTCAAAACCAGTATTTCATCTAGTCAGTTGCTCTGTATTTTTTTAATGTTTTCAGCTGGGGATTAGATATGAGATATGAGAATATTTTCTCATTACCAGCCAACATGCTTAAAGAAGGGTCAAACTAATGTACTTCACTGATATGATTTCATTAACCTTTCATGGTTTTTATGACTATTCTCCGGCACACAGCTCACAGGCAGCTTGACCTAATTTCCACTGACATTTGTTCTCTTCTTTATCAGGCCGTTGCTCTGCTGCCTGCGGGGCCCCTCCGTGTCACAGCGACACATTTCCTCTGTTTCTCAGCAGTCTGCCGTGGTCTGTATGTTACAAATGCATCTAAGAGTGAGCAATATACGAGGAGCATATGGCTGCTCTGCATGTGCAACAAGCCGCCATCACCCCCACACACTGTATGAATTAGACATTTTTCCTGGATGACATCAAAATGGCTCCACCATAGCTATATTTTTCTTTAAGATCTGCAAGATTCAGTGAATGGTTCTCAATTTCTTAATGCGTAAATTTATATATTTCATATTTTCAAAAAGTACTAAGAGGATGTTTGTCAAACGTGAACTGAGACTGGAACTGTAATTGTAAATAAATGAGTATTGGTTTAATTCAATCATTGGATAATTAAATTTGACACCAGAAAACCGAATATAGACGGTGTTGAAATTGAATGTCAGTTGTTTTCTTTTCTCTTTTTATTTGATGCATTTGCAGTTGTACTGTTCCTGATCCAACTTGCTGAGGATATTCCCTTATATCCTCCTTTGCTGAGCATCAAACACCACATCCGTCTCTTTTAAATAAGAACAGTCAGTTTCCATCTACGTTGTTTTGATCTTCATCCCTCAGTACCGACTGGGCTTGCTGTCGGGTCCTCTTTGTCCTCACGGGCTTATCAGCAGACACACAAACCTGCTCTTTTGTCTCAGTCCTGGTGGCACAAAAAAAAAAAAAATCCCCCTCTGTCCCTGAAGTGTAAAAATAGCAGCCGAATGAGTAACTGAGTAACTGAGGAACACGGCGCTTTTAATAAGTTGATGATAAAAGCCGCCGGAGCTCCGACCGATAAAGGAAAATGCTGAATGCACAGAAGCTGTGCGGCAAAATCTCAGCACCACGGGGAACAGAAAATGTTTGATCTAAGTCCTGATTTCACTAAAAGATAGCCATGAGAGAGCTCTTTGGTTTTTAGCTCTGCACAGCTTTCTGCACCCACTTTAACGACTCTGATTCTCTTCCCATGAATGCCACAAAGTAAACTGTGGAGCAGCTGCACTTGTTACTAAAGTCAGTTTGTGATCTAGTGTGTTTTTTTTGTTCAAATACTTAACAAAAAGGTGGGGGGGGACTATTCAGTAAAAATGTCCAATGAAATCTGAAGACTGTTCAGTTGTAAAAGTGTATTTACTTTGTTGTGGAAGCTGCTATGAGGCTATTCTTGTTCACAAATCTGGGATTTCAGCTGCATGGGGATGTGCTCAGAAAGGTTGTGATGGTTGTTAAATACTTTTGAAGAGCCTGCTCTGTTAATGGAAATCAATAATTCCTCTAGATGTCTGTGTCACTGTTTTCCAGTGGAGTTAATCAGAGCAGATGTTTTATTGACCCTCCTTTGGTTGCTAAACATGGATGTGGGCTGAGGACAGACCGACTCGCTAGTGGTAAAGGTTTTTTTTGTGATCTTCCAGAATGTATCAGTCATTGGAGTATCGATGGATTATTTTTTCCATATGAATTCAGACTTTCACCAATGCGTCTCCGTTGTTCATAATTTGCTACTCTGGAGAATGGTCTTTGTCAGTAAATAGTTAATACCAAACTCTGAACATGAGGTCATTCAAGTTGAAATTTTAGTTATTTATTAAACCTTTTGTGAACTCTGCATAAATCTTTAATAGGTTGCTTATTTGTTTTTTGGATTAGAGAGCTGATGTGAGGTAAATGATAAGGAAAAGATGGATTAGAAGTACCATGAATTCCATTTCCTTTTTTGGTTTGGTTCATTTATGAGGTTACGTTTTCTTTACCATAATTTATTTTACCATATTTCTTCTGGATACTAAAAGAAATATGCCACTAATTTAGGGTTAATGAGGCTGGTGTATGCTAACAGTGTGCTGAGTTCAATCCTAAATTAAACAAAATCTATTGGTTGCTTTGTGCCATTTATGCTTTCTTTTGTGTTTTTTTTTTTTCTGAAACCCACACAGTTGGGCCATTTCAGCCCCGCTAAACAAATGGAGCCATGCCACAGAGGCTGGACGTTCGATCACAGTGACTCAGTGATCCATTGTTTCTGAAGCCGCCAGACATCTGCTGGGCCCTGCAAAAGCTTGCCAAAGGAAAAGTGAAAGGCTTTAAGCGGTGACTCACGCCGGCAGAAGGGTGGTTGCTGTCTTTGTATCTGTGTTCAGAGCCGTGTTGGGTACCTTGCATTGAACGACCAGGGCCGTGAGCAGGGCCGGGCCGTCCGTGCTCTGGGGCTTCTCGGCTGACCGCCCGGCTCCGGCCTCGCTGTTGTCGTCCTCCTCGTCCGACCGTAGGCTGCGTTCGCTTTCTTCCAGAGACTCCCTCTCCTCCGTGGAGTCCTCGGCCGTGCTCTCGCTCCTCTCCTCCACGTCGGCCGGCCCCTCCTTGGTGTCGGCCAGCGGGGAGCGAACCCTGGAGCTGAGGTCCCGGGCCTCCCCGCGCAGCCTCGTGATGTTCCCCTCCAGCAGCCGACGCTGGACAATGCTGTGCGGTTGCTTTGGAGAAAGAGAATTTATCTCAGCTGGCAGACACTCCCCAATGACACAGTCGACTGGAAGAAATTCAATGAAGATTTTATAGCCTTAAAATAAACAATAAACCACATTTTCCCACCAGAATATTTCTTTGAAAAATACAAATATTTATTCTCCCAAAAAAGAATAAATGCCTCTTTGAAATGCAGAGTAAGTTCAAAGTCACAGGACAGAGTGATTGGGGCCTAGCTTTTAGTCTCTGTTTGGAACATGGCCGCCATCTTGGAATACGCCATTTTGAATCAAAGGCAAGTTTTTCCAATGGGGAGATAGCCATGTAATATATCAAAGAAGACCAGAGCTGTCACGGAAATCCATTGCTGCAATACGATTTTTACTACCTCTTGTGGTTTATAAGTTATTCAACACAAAAAGCTGCAACAGAAACTGGGAGGACTGCCTATGATGCACAGCTATTTGACATGTGCAGTGTGCTGTTGCATTTAGAGTTCTTTCCTGCCCCACTGTTTCTCACTTGTTTGCAGCTTGATGCCGATTCTTGACAGGTGTTCACTTGGTCAACGCACCTTCCTTGAATTGATATGCCCATGAGGTTTGTTCGCTCCTTTTTAAAGAGTCTTTCTTTCCTCTGAATGTTTTTTTTTTACACTCAACTTCTTGTTTATGAATCATACTTCTTCCTGTTTTCTGCCTCTGGTCTGCTCTTTGACATGTCTGTTTGGACCTGGTAGCTTGGAATGGTGTCTTTTGCCTGCGATCTGTACACTCCGTGTGCTTTGGGTGATTGCCCTAGTGTGTTTTATCATATTTAATTAAAAATATACAGTGAAATGCCCTGTCTTTGGGTCTTTGCCCTATCAACTAAGAAACTCCAAGTTGGTTTGCTAGAGGCGGGAAGAGACTCTAAGATACCCCAAACCAGCCTCATTAAATGACAAGTTCAACAACAGTGAGTTGCCCTGACTGTGTATCAGATCGGTTGTGACATGTTAAGAAAATAAGATGAGGAATGTAGGTCACCTTACCAAAGGAACGCTGTGTCATCATCAGACCCTTCGTGGCTACAGAAAGTCAGTATCATTGTTTCCTTATCACAGCAGTACAGCACATACATGCTCATGTTTTTAAATCTGTGAATGTTTTATTTAAAAAGGACCATCCATCCTTAGTTAACAACCCAGTGAGTCGTAATCCAAAGAAAAACACTGACTCTGCAGAGCAAGTAAAACCTGGTTATCATATAAACTCAGGAGCATGGGACAACGAAGGGGCAACAAATTGGATTTCTGTTGAGCTGAGTCTTCTGTGCTTCTGCTCGAATTTGAATTTAAGTCCATGAAGTGTGATGTGGTTTATAATGTAGAGCTCGCAACCCCAATTTTAAAACATGTGGGATGCTTAAGACTGCGTAAATAAAAACAGACTATTATCACTTGTGTAACTCATAAATCTATATTTTAATAACTGTGTAATGGAAAATAATAGTTCAAAGCAATTGTGCTACGTTAGAAAAAACATTTAGCTTATTTTGAGTCAAAGTACTGAGATATGAAGTCACCCAGTCACCCAGCTCCATCTCCAAATGTGATTTGCAAGCATATGCTTCTGAGAACACACACTTATAACATTTATATGTACTGTACGATTACGTTCAGTACCAGCGTGTAGATCTTATTTGATCCTGAATTGATGTAGAGTTTTGAATGTTCAGTCACTGGCAACAATATGTGCCGGTGGCTGACTGTCTGGGCTATTGTAGAAAATCCTATTTACGCCGCCTGCTACCTCCTAATGTTGTTGCTGTTCCACCAGAGTCTTTTTCACTGGCTTTCAGGCTTTGAAAAAAGCAGGTCGCACATTGCAAGCTGTGGCCCTGCATCTGTAAAACTCTTTCTTTTTCTTCCTCTTTTTGGTTTTTCTGAACACTGAAATCAATACCATTAAATACCATCTAAAAAGAAACCTTTCTAAAATGTGAAACCTTTCACATTTCAAGTGTGAAAAGAAATGGTTTGATGTGCTAATGACAACAGCACTTTTGAATTAGGGGATTTTTCTTCCGTACAAAGCATAGAACTGCTTTTATTTGGTCGTTATGGCTTCTGCTGAATGTTTGGACAGTCCTCAAATGCTGAGAACTTTACAATTATTGGTAAAATATGTGTAATCCTAAGAAAGCACAACCATGCCAACGAAGGTACAGCTTCAAAAAGCCATCACACAGGCAAAAAGTTTACCCTCAGAAAGGCTCCATCATTTTTATGTACCAAGCTTCACAATTAAAATCATAATTTTTATTATCATTTTGAGGACAAGCGGCTCCACAACAATGTAAAAGCAGCTTTTCCAGTGCAAAGATATTAATAAAGTCAAGACGATCGAAATTGGAGTTTCAGAGAGGGACAACCAACGGTAGATCCAAGCTAAGATTATGTAACCACTTCTTGTTACAGTTTTGCTGAGCAATTCCACTGGCAAAGTCTACATCTTTTCCTTGGACCTTTTCTGGAGACAGAAATTGACCTTATCAGCATGACTGAAGGGCTGGAGTTACTCCTTGAACCGCATTTGTAAAAAGGGCACCTTACTTTTGCGAAACAGAGGCTAAAGTCCACATGTAAGGTACAAATTGGATCCAAATTTAGACGAAATCCTGCCAGTGCACCAAGTTACAGCTTTATTAGCCAACGGCGGCTTTCAGAGCAACACAGGGACACAGCTGAAGGATCTTGGCTATGTTCCAGCTATCGAAAGCTCATCACCGTCTGCTTTTCTGTTGTTGTCACGGGCTCCGTGTCTCTACAACCCCTTCCCTAATGTAATAACAATCCTGGAGTCGGTACACATTTATGGGGAGTGGTGTGTTTGTCCACTTCACCATTTTCCTTCAGGGGGAAAACGGACACCCAAACGTTGTGGCTGTTGTTTTTTGTTGCTGTTGTTGGTGTCATTATAAGCCACCTTATCTTGCGGGAGCTCCCTCATCCCCCCGTCCATTCCTATTCTACACCACTCCTGTGGGCCAATTCCAGCTGACAGTGGGCGAGAGGCGGAATAACGGCCTGGACGGGCTGCCTGTCCACAGCAGAGGCACACAGAGACAAACAACCACCTACGCTCACATTCAATCTAAGGGGCAATTTCGAGTGTCCAGTTAACCTAACAGGCATGGTTTTCGGACAGTGGGAGAAAGCCAGAATACCCGGAGAGAGTATTTCAAAAGCTGACGGTCTTCTGTCCGGGAGGATATTTGGTTGAACGGCTTTGACTTTGAGGCTTCTATCCCTGACCAGGCACAATGAATGCAGACACAGTGGGATGGAAAATGCGTGCCCTGCTATTCTTTTTCCCATTATCGGGCACAGTGATGGCCATCGTTTTAATGATTAAGGTACGAGCAGCAATGATAGAATGCACGGCTGGAACATTCCTGACAGGAATCCGAATGAAGGTGGGGAGTTTTTCCCAGACCAGAAAGCACAGAAGGAAGCGGAAGGAGGAAAAGAAATATAAATATTTGAGAAAGCATCACGACCCCAAGAGATAAAGCTGTCTCACCTTAAGGTGACTGTAATAATCTCATCTCATGCCTGGCCACGTCCGCCTCCCTGCGGCTTCGCTATAGACTTTGTCTGTCTTTTTTTCTTTTTTTTTTGTTGTCCGTGTGAAGCTCGACCCAGCAGCCCCACAGATCGATGAAGAAGTCAGGGAAGGAACATCGATTCGCCTCGGACGAATGGCCGAAAACAGTGAAGGGGATTAGGTTTCTGCGGTGGGTTGATCATATACACAGTCGTGCCTCCGTCCGTCCGCTAGCCCCTTTGCCGCCACATTGACAAACAGTAACACTTTGGTCTAATAGCCGTCACCCCGCGCCACCGAGGCCAGTTCAGCCTCCGGTGGGAACTCCGGCCGAGCGGAGCAGGCCAGGATGATGACTTGCACTTGTCTTGCTCTCAGTGTTTTATGTCTTTCATGTTCTGACCTCGCGCTTCCCTCTTCACTCACTACATTATTCTGTTATTTCCTCCTCTCTTTTTTTCCCCAATTGATATTTCCACTCCTGCCTTTGTTCCTCTAAATTGCTCTCGGTTCTCAAAATTCCTCACAATTTGAAGCATTATTTTTCACCATGTTTTCTCCAAGTCCGTATTTCTTTTCCCCACAGCTCCTCTCCCCTCCTTCCTTTTATCTAGTCCTATTCAGATGTAAAAGGACTTTTTTAAGGGAGATGTGGATGAAGCTGTTATTTCCAACATGCATAAATCTAAACTAACCTTTCAAGCAATGGTCCAACAGTGACACAATTTTTGTTTGTTTGAACTTTAAACTACATTAACTTTTATTGCTGAGTTTTAGGTGCTTCAAATGGGAAAAATATGCTTTTCTATTTCCTTAATTATCAGTAACACTTAGCTTACTTTCCTGAGTCCCCTAACAACCATCTCCATCAGTGGTTTTAAGATATATGTGACAAAAAAGTACAAGCCAACTTTAAAAAATAAAGGATAATAAAGAAAAAAACTTTAGCTTTGAAGAGCGTCTTCTCACCTTCTGGATGAAAAGTCTCCCTCTAAAAAGGCCATGTCGGCTGTTATTTGTCGAAAGCCTCAAATTAGGCAACAACTACTCTCGTCTCTTTTTTTTTTGCCTTAATTGTTTCAAACTGCCCACAACGCTGGCATGAATTGAACATTTGTCATGGTGACAGTAAGTGAGGGAAATAAAAGCCCGTTTTTTTTTAGCCAGGTGTTCCAGCCTGTTAAACAGCAGCTATCCTCTGACAAAAAGAGCCAAAATAGGCGTGTGAGTGAGTAAAAAGCACGGAAAATATCATTTGAATGAATATACTTATTAAGCCCGGTTAAAAGCTTTCATCAGACTCCACAGAGGTGGAAATATAATCTGACAGTACACCAATTTTTTGGACTATTAGTGTCTCATTTACTCTCTGATGGGCGGCCCTGGCTGCTCTGGGGTCAGCCATGGAGCACATCACCGCCACAGCTGCTGTCTGCCAGCATTGTGCTGTTGCATGGGTTATAGTTTCATAGTGTAAAGGAAAGCTGAAATCCACTTTTCTTCTTTTCTTCAGCAAATTTCAGAGGACCTCTAACCCCACTCAGTATAATTTCAATACAGGCAGACACTCCTGATCAAACCCAAACTGGCTGAAACTGTTTTGAAATCCTTTGTGTCGGCTTCTTAATGCTTTTCATTCAAAACATTCAAGCACTCACAATTTTTCAATCATATCTGTGATGTATTGTGTGATTCATGGACGCTAAGGAGGGGGAAAAAAACATTTCTCTGTCAAATATGTGGAACAAACTGAGCTCAATGTCATCACTCTCATGTGATATTGAGATTATCTGCTGTTTATCGTTGACATAAAATGGTTAAATTCATATTTGTAGTGAACAGGTCCACTTGCTGTTATCTAAAATGCTTTTCTCAAATTTAAACCTTTCTGTTGCTCATTTCATGGCTTTGTACTTTTATACATTACCGCACTTTCATTTCAATTTAATGAGTTAAAAGGCCAGGATCTGAACCATTTCAAAGTTTGAAAAAAAAAAGAATAAATAATACGGATTGTGAGCAAAGGAAAATCTCTGGTAGCATTATTCTCACTGGTTGCTCCCTCCTGTTTATCACCTGAGATTACAAACTTAAAAGAAAAGTCTCAGGGCTCCTCAGAATAAATGCGAATATGAACTTTTCATCAGCTCTTTATCAGCACTTCAGCTTTGCTATGTAACAGGGCGCCGCGGTGTCAGACCCCAAATCTGTCATATTGCACACTTTGTTCAAGCTGTGTCATGTGTGAAAAATGTCCTCATCAAGATTTCAGCTCATTTCTCACCTCCGTCCACCGACGGCTCGACAACAGACTGAGAGTATGGAAAGTGGCATCAATCATATGGCCTCCCTGTGGGTCCCCTCCATTTGACAGTAACCCCTTTTTTCCTTTTTTTTTTTTAAGTAGAAGCAATTTGCCTCGACTAAAGTAGGTTGTAATCAGTTCATTTTTCACTGAGTACAAAATGGGAGCTCGGACGAAATTCTTTTTTGGCATTCATTGTTTCGGGATTGCAAAATGTGTCACAGATCATGTAGCAGCTAAAGAAAACCCACGGTTCACAGAAAATTACCCAACTATCAGCCTCACCTCTCCTTTTCTTAGACAATTCCCTCAATATATCTCTGCAATTACAGCACAAGAGATAAGTCTGTGGAAATTTCTTGTTTTTCGAAGACCACTAAAACTCTCCTCATCTTCTATCAAACTAATGTGTCTACGTGGTTACCGATAAATGATTGTGCTATTATTATTAATTCAGTTTCTACTGTTCATTATGTAAGTTGCATAAATAAATAAATATATAAAGTGATCCCATGAAAGTATTTTGTTGTGTTTTGCAATGGAGTTGAGATATCATCTCAGTCCAGAACTCCTTGAGGCAAAGTTCTCGAATACATTTTTATTCATTTTGCACACTAATGATAATGAAGCTTGTAAGCTTGGACCTCATAACAAGATTGCTTCTCTTGTGATTTGTTTTAAATGGGAAAACACTTGCATTTATTGCTTTATAATTACAGTGATTATGTTTCAGTGATAGAATGGGGGGGGGAAATAGAGCAATGATACAGGTTTATTAACAGGTCCATCAAGTTTTTGCCTTTACAGGACAACCCAGCCAGCTGTGGGAAATAAATCATGTTTGTTTTTTTGGAGAGGAGTCACTAAGGAGCCATAAGAGGTGTGAAGACATATATGTTAGTTGAGCACTGATTTCAAGTTCCTATTCTAACCACTGGTTAGCCAAAGGCTATTGGAATTGTATTCTATTGTGGAATTGTATTTGTACTAATAAACTACATGCAAAAAAAGGAATGGATGAATGGATATATTTGTCGCTTAAAATGGAATTGTGCTCAACAGATCAGTGACATTTTATCCATTCTGAGAGCACCAGATTTATCCCAAAGCATGGGGAGGGTAATTGAGCCAGTAAAAAAAGTTCCATTGTTCCAGGGGAAGTTTTTGGGGGGTTTTTTTGTTGTTATTTTTCAGATAAAAAAGCCCCTTTGACACTTTACTGGGTTGTTTCCTTTATTGCTTTATTTTCCAAATGAAGCATACGATCTAAACATACACTTCATCATTTCCCATTCACCTTCCTTTTTTTGTGTGGGGGGGAGGTTGATAAAAAAAGATAACAAATCAAAAGGAAGAGATTATTTTCGGAGGTAACCCAAGTACACAAACTGCAAAGATTACAATAGAAAGGGACAATAGAGAAAATGTTCCGTGCAGAGACTTGGATCATTTGGAGTGAGTAAGGGAACTGCTACACTGAGTGTGCAGCAGTCTGGAGGGTCAGTTTTCCTCAGAAGTCTCTCAGCTCATTTGAATCTGATCTACGCCTCCTCAGAGTCTGTCACGAGGACTGTTTACTTACTTTTCTCTAATGGCACCGCCACTCTGGTTAATGAGACAGCCGAGGATTTTGCTTTTAACCTGCAGTGTGGGCACTTCAAGTGCAAATACCCTTTCATTTCCTTATTCCGTTGGGCTGCTTTATCAGCGAATATATGTGTGATAGAGTCTAAACAGAAGTTTTATGCTCGCTCTCAAGATTTGGAGTAAATGCATGTCACATTGGACGCTCCCGATGCTGCTCAAATTCCCACGTCAGCCGACAATAAAGTCATCAGGGTCGGTGGATTGTGGATCCACTGGTTGAAACTCGACCAAGAGAAAAGGATAATCTCTAAATCCAAAATCTATGTTATTGGATAACCAGAAAAATATAAATCACTGCTCCAAACACAGAGCAAAACCACAAATAAAGGAAAATTAGAAAATCACAGGAAACAGTACAAACAAAAGGTACTGTGTAACCACAGGACAAAACTTATTAACATAAATAGCCTTTAAAAAAAAAAAAACAGTAAAAATCTGCAGAAAACTAAATACTGCCAGCAAATGCAACGGAAAAACACCTTGCTGGAACCTACTCTCTAAAAAGAGAATGATCTGTAATATCGCACGGCTTCAAGAAGCCCATGTGAAGACACACTTGGGAACCCAAGATTAGACCCAGACTTCTGGAATTATCTGGCACTGGTGCTAATTCACCAGTGAGCCTAAAGATGTTTATGACATAGTGATCTCAAGTCTAGCAACGGCGCCTCACAGCGAGAGGGTTCTGGGTTCGAGTCCCCGGGGGAACCAGGATGTTCTCTCCGGTTTCTGCGTGGGTTCTCTCCAGGATCTCCGGCTTCCTCCCACCATCCAAAAACCTGTATGTTAGGATGATTAGACATTCCAAATTGCCCATAGTGGTGAGTTTGCTTGGTCGTTT